TGTGGGGGGGGGGGGGGGCGAGTTCTACGGGGTACGCGTGCATGGAAAGCAGTCTATGCATGTGGTCTTATATAACGGAGGTCTCGATCACGATGTCCACCCAAGGGAACTACGCTGTGGAGCGGAACATGAAGGCGGCGTTTAGTGTTGTTGAAGTTGGGTCGGTGTTGGGGTGGACCTCTGCTGTTATGTGACGCCTCCCGTCTAGACCCCATCGCAAGGTGTCATCGTGAGTGTACCCCTAGTTTACTCCGACCTTCTCCTACTCCTTGAAGGTTTCCCGGCCTCCTGACCCTATCGCCCCCCCTTCCCCTCTCGGATGAAATCGACTCTACCCTCGGCACCGCTGGAACACTAATAACGCGGACATCCTCAGGCGTACCCGTTCCTAAGCTCGTGCTCGTCCGTTCCTGTTCGTCACTCGTTGGAGGCTGGTCGTGGCCGCAGCGCGCCGAGGTGAAAAAGGCCGCGTAATGTTACACGTTTCGTTTTTGTGGCGCCCGTGTGTCAGTCGCCGACCCTCTCAGCTGTGGTACAGAATCAGCGCGCCGATCCGTGAAGTGTATTTGAGAGGATGAGGTTCTTGATAGTGTGGGTTTTGATCTGCAGGTAACGACAAAGCGTGGTAGGTCCGGGCTCCGAGTTGCCTCTGCAGCAGCAGTGGTGGTGGTGGGAGGCGCTGCCAGTTGTGTAGGCACTTGTAGTCATGAAAGATATCGGGGAGGAGTTGAGTTGTTCTGTTTCGTACTCTTTGTTTTGGTGCGGTGCTGGCATGCGCTGCAATTGTCGTAGGCTGTACGCAGAGAGGAAGGTCTCCTTGTTGTGGAATTCTTCCGGCTTTAGTTGCAGGGTTTTGTTATTGTTTTTGTGTCTTTTACCTGCACGACGGTACCAGCCAACACTACTATGCTGCCGTTTTTTGTACCCTCTGTCGCAGAAGAGTTATATCCAGCGAGTCGACTTCCGACTTGCTCCGTCAGCAGTTGGGCAGCAGTCTTACACATTGAATCGACTCGCCTTGTTCTTTTGGATACGCTGGTTAGCTCGCTGGGGCTGGTCCTCGGTGTTCGTACACGTGTGTTTGTTTGAGTGGCAACAACCAGAAAGAAACAAACGCACGTTACAACCGCTGCGCAGGGTGTCGGACGTGCAGCCGGGCGCGGCGCTCATGCTGTGGGGAGAGAAGCCTACGGTTCCCATGGAAGAGATAGCGGCCATGAGGTGAGAGGTGCGGCAACAACTATATGCACAACCCATGCCTGCCAAGTCGGAAAAAGAATACAATTGTAATTGGACACAGATCACCAGCTACGCACGCGACTCCTGCCACTGGATATGTTTAAGAGCACTCACCGGATGAATGTGACCAATCTAGTTGTTGGAGTTGTTGTGTGGTTTGGTTTGGTGTGGGGAATGATGCCGACGAAGGGGTAGCCGGTGGCGCTCCGACCACTGCGAGGTGCCTTCTTTTTTTTTTTCTGTGGTTCGTTTTCTGACGTAGGTTTGCTGCAGATGTGGAAGGGATCGGATCATATGGTTGGTTGGTACGACGAGGACCACGGGAAGGACCACCCGCAGACACCGAAAATATATATATTAAGGCGCGAGGTAAGGCACCCTTGTGCCATGTCAAGTGCTGTGGCATTCGATGTGACCAATACTTGGTCAAAACCTTTCCCCGTCCCGTGTGCCATCACGCGTGCGATTTTGTCCTAATTTTACGTCAACTTTGTGCGTGTAGTGGTCGGTATTCGCCGCCCATCCCGCTTCACATTTTGAAATCTCCAACCCTCCTCCCCCCCTCCTAACGAAAAGCTTAGTCGAGGTGTTCCGAGACTGTGAGGTGACGTTCGCGGGCAGCAAGTCTCCGGGTTGGAAAGACGACGTTACTTTCCTCCCCTCGTCGTCCTCAGCATCGTCCGAAACGCACCCGCCAGCGTCGAAACCTGAGCCCGCCGGCGTCGGCGACGGCGTTGGGGGGGGAGGGACAGAACAAGGTGATCCCGGCCCGGCTGCGATTGGCGGCGAGGAGGGTCAGGTGGGGATCGAGACACCGACACGGCGAAAAGAAGCAGCAGCGCGGCAGCAGCAGCAGCAGCAGCAGCGGCAGCAGGCGACGACCTGCCAGGGAAAGTTCTGGAGGAACCAGAACCGTGACAGCGGGCGGTACACCCTCGAGGTGGGAGAGGGGGGGGAGGCGGCGGTCCTGACGCTGAGCTGGGACCGCTGGGATGACGAGGTCGTGGTCCTGAAGGATAGGAGGCTCGGGATCCGATTCGAAGGTGAGAGGGCGGGTGGGGCGCGTTTGTGCGCGCACGACGAACGTTTAACTTTTTGCTTTGAGCCTCTTTCCGTTTTGAGATGTTGGTGATGACGACTACACCACGTAAGCTGTAGCGTCTAACCAAGGTGCACTACAATAGGACAGCGTGTTTGTTTGCGTCTGTTGTGACGCCGCGGTCGCTCCGTTGCCTATGCAACTTCTTTGACGTAACCCGCCCAAACGGTACTATTTACAATACTGCTGCTTCTGCTGCTGCTGCTGCTGCTTCTGCTGCTGCTGCTGCTGCTGCTGCTGCTGCTGCTGCTGCTGCTGCTGCTGATTCAACGCAACGCCGCACGCCCATTCTCCCTGCACCTCGCTGATTGGCCGGTTTTCGACCACCCCGCCACCTTTCATTAGGCAAGGGCCACAGCTTGTGGCTAAACCTCTCTTGTGCTCGACGCTTGGTGAGTATATGGCCAACACCAAAGGTTGAGCTTGTTCGTGCTGTACGTATGTACATTGAGAAGCGTTTCGTTTGCCATGCCGTTGTGGTTCGGCCGCGGGGGACGGCTAGGCGAGCGCTTTGGTGCAATCTTAATCTTTCTGCGACAAAAAAAAACTCGTCCAGGATTTTTGAAGAAGCGCCTTCTAGCACGGCAAAGTGTGTGTGAGTGGTGTTGATCTCCCTTGCAGCGGAATTCGCTCTGTTGTTGTTTGCTGCTGGGCCTACCGCTTTTTCTTCTTCTTCTTCCTTTGTCAGCCCCTGCGAAGATCAACGTGCTATCATACGTGTAGTCCACCAAGAGTGTTCGAGCGTGCTTCCGTTGAGTGAGTCTTGATTGTCGTGCTTGTGTCACCACCTTGTACATCCTGTGTTCTTTCCCTTGCTTGGCTCGTTCCAACACCCTTACATTGCTCTGTTCCTCGCCCCCCCCCCCCCCCCTCTCTCACCGCCTGCAGACAAACGAGGAGAAATCGTTGTCTAAAAGTGCGCAAGCCGCGTCGACACCGGTGCTTCGAGTGGTGGCGGTCGACTCTACCTCCACCCCCACCCCCACTCCCGCCGCCGAACCAACCAACACGCGCGCTTCGGAAAGCTCCGAGCCTGCAACAGCAACGGCTGCTGGGGCGCTGGCTGCAGACACCGCGGAACCTTCGTCAAAGATGAACCACGGCGGTAGCGGTAGCGGTAACGTTGACGGGGACGAGGACGTTGTCATGGTGAAAGTTCCGCTGGAATCGCTCAACCCTGAGGCGTTCTGCTTGACACCGGTGAGCGATCGATGGGCACGATCACGAGAGTTGTTGATCTTCACGTGGGAATCTGTGACAACGGAGTTGATGCTGCTACCTATGGAGTCTGAGGGCTGGGTTATCGTCAAGTTCGGAAGGAAGACACACCAACAAGATGCACCAAAAATGCGTTTTCCGGTTTTCGTTTTTTTCCCTTGGGGTGTAACCGTTTTGTGGTTGCTCTCCTCGTATGCGCCTCAGCTCCTGTAGTCGTCTTGTGTGTGTTTTTCACCAGTATTTCAGTACACCACGAAAATGAGGCCTACTGCATGCATGGGTTCGGAGACCATCGGGCGCAAGAAAATTTGGTATTGGCATCCTTTTGTGATCGTTGTTGCATACTTTTATGTGAGCGGTGCTTCGTTCCTTGTTGTGGAATGATACGGCGGTGTGTACGTTAGGCTGCCCGCTACCGGCTCGACATGCCGATCCGGGTCTCGGAGGAAGGCCCGGGCTACGTTTCGAGCGACCAGCCGATGCCGCCGCGGACCCAAGAAGAAGAAGAAGAAGAAGAAAATTCCAGAAGAGAAAGGAGGGAGCGACAGGAGAGGATTTGGGACAAGGCGCAGGCACACCGCCGCAAAGAGCAAGAAGAGGAGGAGGAGGAGGAGGAAGAAGAGGGCGCGATAAAGGAGGAAGATGGTGAGGTGGTGTTGGGAATCGAAGCGCCTTCGCCGAGCCTTCCGCCGCCGCCGACACCGCCGTCGTCGGGAGGCAGTGCCTCAGAACCGGCTCCGGCCCTTGCGGCGCCGGCGGCGGCAGGGTCGGGGACGGTCTCGGGGGAAGAAGGAGAGCAGCCTTCCGGAGGGTCGGCGGGCGATGGCAAGGGCAGGCGGCAGCAGCAGCAGCAGCAGGATGGGGAGTTTGTGCCTCCGTCAGCGGGTAGGCTGTGTCCGATCCCGTCCGGACCCCACAAGGGAACGGTCATGTTGGGGCTGGACTGTGAGATGGTGCGTGCGTGCGTGCGTGCGTGCGTGCGTTCACTTTTGGATCCCCCTTCTGTCGTTTCGACATGAGTGATGGTATGCATGCTTGGCCGGCCCCGTTTTCCTTTCGCCTGTCTCGCCTCGTGTCACTTTGTTGGACATCTTATGGTGGTGCTGTGACAGCAGCAGCAGCAGCAGCAGCAGCAGCGGGCGGTGAGCTTTCATCACTCATCCCCGCTCGGCCCATCTCAACACGTGGATTTCTACTCTCCGGGAATCGCCGCCTCCTGTTTTGGCTGTTTGTTGTTCGTTCTTCCCTTTATAATAAATATTCCTCGCCCGGCGGCCGTTCGGTCTGTCGGGCGGTATCCCACACAGATCTACACGAGCGAAGGGCTGGAGCTTGCACGCGCTACTCTGGTGAACGTGAAGGGCCAAACGGTCTACGACAAGCTTGTGAAGCCCACGTGAGTCCTCGTGTTGTGCGCCCGCGTTTTTTGCTGTGGTAGCCATTGTTGCGCGTTGGTTGACGGCACAGTTGCTTGGGGCAGCAGTTGCGGAAAGGTTGCGCGGTGCTCCATTGCCACACGGTTCTCGCCGGGCGTGAGGGTTGTCGTGAACGGTCTCCGAACCATCCGCCGTGTAACGCGGTCTTTTGTACGTGCCCACGCTTCTCCGTGTCCGGGTGTGATTCGTTTTACGCCTTCGTCTTTATGCTGGCTCGCTGCCCGTCGTGATGTCACTGCTGTCCGTTTTTTTTTTTTTTTTTTCAGGCTCAAGGTCACGGATTACAACACGCAGTTCAGCGGCATCACTCCTGAGATGCTCAAAGGTAAGCCGGGAAACAGCTCAGCGACGAGAAGAACTAGAACTTTAGAAGGGAGTGCATGTGTTGTCGCGCATGCATGTTGTCAAAGGCCTTAATTTCTCGTTTTCACTCGACGACATGAACACCAACCTGCCCGCAAGAAGATACGGCCCGTTCCACCGGCGGTGTGAGAGAAAGAAAGAGCTGGTGTGCGTGCTTGAACACTGCAGACACGCGCTCTTTGGAGCGCTCGGAAACAAGACAGAGCTCCCGCCTCCTCAATCATCCGCCAGTTTTGAATTTTCAGAAACATCATGCAGGGAGAGCTTATTTGTTGTTTCTGCGTGCAGGGAGTTGTGAATCTTGCCCTCGCTTCCTTTCGCTTGCCGGAGACACACCCCTGGTCACCCCACACGTTCTCCGTTGCCCCCAGCAAAACACATCCCCACGCTGTCTTTGTTGCTGTGTTTATCGCAATCATGGTTTCGAGCTGAGTTCTGTGTGTTCTGTTCACTGGCTGTCTCCGCCGACCAAACGCTCGCTCGCTCGGGGGTCGCAGGCGTGACGCGGACTCTGCGAGACGCTCAGCGAGAGATCCTGTCGTTCGTGGACGCCGAGACTTACCTGGTGGGGCACAGCCTGGACAGCGACCTCAGGGCGCTCCGTCTTGTCCACCGCCGTCTCATCGACACGTCCGAGCTGTACCCCAACCTCAGGGGCATTCCGTTCAAGGCAAGGCGTCCAAGTGTCGCCTGAAGCGGTCGTAGAATAGATGGGCGCGATGTTTCTCCCCCTCACCCCTCTTTCCTCCGTTTACTTATGTGCCTGTCTAGCTGACCCGCGTGGTCCTGCGTGTATGGCATGCTGACACGATGTAGTAGCAGACTTGCTCGACGACCTCTTGTTTTGGGAACATTTGCTCTCCTGTCTTTTTAAGTCTCTCGCTAACTCGCACCTCTCCCCTGTCTCAATCTTTTGTCCCGTTTTCCCTATTTACTCTGCTGTGTCGTTTCTCATTTTCGGTCCGGTATTTACTTGCCAGAACGGCCTCCGCGTGCTCAGCAAGACGGTGTTGGGACGAGCAATCCAGGGGGGGGATGCCGGGCACGACAGCGGCGAGGTGAGTCCTTTCCCGTGCCGGTTGGACTGTTGAGGAAGAACTGTTGCTGCGGTGGTTGCTGCGTGGAGAAACGTGAAAGTGAACTCTGGAGTTAAAAGGCAACAGTAATCGAGTACAGAGTTGGCGAGTGTGTATGCATAGCATCCGGGACGTTTTCCCAAGAGTCGGAAATCTCCTCGCAGACCTTTGGGTGTTTGACGCTTGTCGCTTAGCGCCGCTCTGCGGCATTCGCCAGGCTAAGGCTTACTCCCTGCCCCCCACACTCCTTCCCGTCCGCACCCATGTTTTGTTTTCCTTGCCTCCGCGACCTCTTGCCTAGAGCCCTCTCTTTATGCTGAACGTCAGGGGGGTACGCAGAAGGAATTCCTGACCGCGTACCCGCCGTCATTTCTCCGCGCTTTGACAACGTCCCTCCCTACACAGTCACATGATACGTGCCGCCATCGGTCGTTCGTGTTTTTGTTGTTTGTGTTTTGTCAGGACGCGTTTGCATCGCTTGAGCTGGCCCTGCTGAAAATGCACAGGTGAGGGAGGGAGGGAGGGAGGGTTTGGTGAGAGTGAAGGTGGCGTGGCGCTAGCACGCGAGGGGTGGGGGGCAGGACAAGTTGTTGAAGGGAAAGGGCGTCGAGCACTAGTGGACCCACAGTGCCAAACTGCTTTTTTTGTTGTGGTAAAGTAGCAGTAATACGTGGGTGCATTTTGTCGGAAGCGATTGTTCTTGTGTGTGGCGTGTCATTTCGTTCCAGGACGAGCCAGCTCGCGGGGTGTCACCCTTCAACGTTCAGAGCTATCCATCTTTGCCTGACAGTGACCGCATGGTTTTGGGTACAACCCCCTGCGTGATGGGTGTCGTGACACGCACCGGTCGTTTCCATGAAAGGCCACGGCCACGGCCATGACGCTAAAACTTTCGTCTTGCCTATCTTGCTCGTTTGGTGCGGTGAGTGCGGGGCGTAAGCCAAACCTTCAGAAGTGCTCCCGTTCAATTTTGGTGATTTTGCATCCTGCCGCCCCCATTTGTTGCTACTCTGTTTCTCTACTTTGGTCACCGGCAGGGGTCCCGCTTTCGAGCTGCCGTCGGTGTGGGCGGCCAAGCCGAACCCTCCGAAGGAAAGTCTTTTCGAGTCCTTGGAACGCCGCGAGCCAACGAGGCCGCTACGGTAGGATGCGCTTCCTCCTTCTGTCGTGTGCCACCACCACTGTCTGTTACAGCACTGTTCTGCTCTTTTTTCTGTTTTGAGAATGGCATGAATGCAAGAGTAGCAGCTGCAAGCACGATACACGGATGGAATAGTTACCGTTTGTCACTTGCGATTGCTGGTTTTGCATCATTTTTTGTTTGGCGTTTTGGTCTGATGATGCATGGTTTCGAAGATGCACATCGCTGTTGATGTTGGCCGGCGCATGATGGCGATTTTATCGATGAATGAAGATATTAGGTAAAATCGTCCGCCTGATGCATGCTGGACAGGTGCAAGGTCAGCGGCGACCTGGAAGCGAGGGGCTCGGCGGAGCACCCCCCGGGGACACCGCTGTGGTCCGTCTTCAACTGCGGCTACCGCCGGGAGCAGGACGCGGTTTGGGCGGCGACCCGTTTCGGGCACACGGACCGAGAAGCAACGAGCCAGGAGCAATCGGCCTCGTCGGTAACGGTCCAATCGAACGGCAAAGACGGTGTCTCCCCTGCCCCGGCTACCGCCGACCCTACCGCCGTGGCCGCTCCAGGAGGCCAAGCGCGAACGGCGCCGGCGGTGACGGTCGACGCGGCCCACTTCCCCACCGCCGGAGGCATGCTGAGGGATGCTCTCGGGTCGCTGGCGCCGGCCGGGTCGCCGCCGCCGCCCCCGTCGCTGCTGTGGGTGGACCTCCCGTGCGACCCGCCGAATGACTTCGACCACGACGGCGGGGACAGGCAATGGAGCTCACTGGCCGAGGTGGGCTTTGGGTGTTGAAGGGAGATGCGTCAGGGGGCAGGCAGGGAGAGATAGCGGGTGGGAGACGCGGCTGATTAGGTAGCAAGCATTTGGCGGGAGCGTGTCGCATCGAGGTGGTGGCGAGGGGTAGAATGCCGGGCAAGCGGTGATGTTGAGAAGAGCTTCCGCTGGCTGTAATATGGGGCACGCGACCGCTTTTTTTGTTTTGTTTTTTGGTATATGTGACTATTCATAATAAACACTCTGTCTCGGCGTGAAAGATACATCAGAGTACCCCGGACGAGCATGTCGCGCGTTAACAGTATTTCCCCTCCTCCTCAGTCGAAGCTCAACTCCACGGCCCGTGCCCGCTTCCGTTGTCCAAGAAACAAAGCACGAATCTCTCTCCTCGTTCGCTAACCCTAGCACCGTCAGCCACACACCAACCCGTAAAACTAAACAAACAAAAATTATCTCCTCCTTCCACGCCACGCGCGATTCCCCCCCCAAAGGTGGACCGCGCGGTGTCCCAGCTGTACGACAAGATGGCGGAAGGGACGCTCCTGGTGGTGGTGTGTCAGGGCGCCCTCACCTCCATGGTGAACCTGGCGGCGAAAAGGACCAAGAGCAAGTGGGACGCCACCAGCAAGGAGAGGATGGACACCATTGCCGGGAAGAAGAGAGATCATTCGCAGAGTAAGCACCCCACCCAGCCCTACCCTACCCCGAGAACCCGTCCGTTTCATCATAGTACATAGCCTTCAATTACACGGGCCTGTGTGTGCCGTTGCTCACTCATGTGGGACCTACATGTGCAATCGTAAGAGTTGTGCCTCTCCTGTCTGCTGCACCTTTGGGAATACGCAGTTGACTCACTGTACGAGCCGCTCCATCGCTGCTTTCAATTAGCGCGCGGATTATTAGCCGTGGCCATATGAGCAGATGGGCAGTACTCGGTCTTGGCTTCTCTTGTTGGTTATGAAGGTACTTTTGTGCGTGAGCGGAGCGGCGTCTGTGAGCTGAGGTAAATATCGTAGCACCTCGTTCCATACCCATTTAAAAAAACTCATGCACTAGCTCTTTCACTCCCCCCGCTCTCTATACCTACCCATGGTCCGTGCCGCACGGCCACCGTTGCGTGAAACGCCAACAACCTACTCCCTGGAACCACGGATTGATGTGTCTACCTGGGAAACGCCCTGCCTGTAAACTACGCCGAAACCCGCTGGTTGGGGGTCCGCTCGAATCTACGAACCAGTTTCGACGTTCGACCGTCGGGACGAGGACGACCTGGTGATGGCCACCAGCGAGTGCCTCAACGGGATGTGCTTTCTCGCGTCCAAGTAGAGGTAGGGACAGAACAGAAATGTTGTGTGGCTGCCGAGGGATGTCTTTGTGTCGCGTGCTCGCACCAGGCCCGGGGCCGCCTCGCGGTATGTGTGTCGTAGTTGGAGCCGTATTTTTTTCAATTCGACAGTCTATTCTTCTCATGTTCGGTCCCGACGCTGGTAATTGTGTCATGCATCGTTGTGAAGGCTCAGGTGGGCACAGAGGTAAGCGAGCTCCCTGCAGTTCTGCATGCAGGAGACTGGTGTACTGTGCTTCCGGGCGGAGGCGGTTGTTCCGGTTCAAGGATAGACACAGCGAGATACGTACTTTATGGGGTGCCGAGGGACTGTTGAATCGGATTTAGTTCGCCTCGTCGCGCCCTACGTCGAGAAGCAGAACTGGTGCAGCTGAGAATCTCTTTGTTGGTCTCGAAAAAAAAAAGCGCTAGTCGGTGGTTGGACTACGACGTCACGCGGAGGTCTGCCCACCACTTTGGGGTCAAGAACGGTTGATCCAGCAGTCTTTTCCACACGTTTTTTTCACACCCTATTCCCTAACCTAGCCCAAACACCTCCAATTGATGTGAGGTGGACGGTGCTACAGGTTGGCGTGCACGGGAGGGTTGGTAGGGTAAAAGCTACAATAGTGCGTGCGGCAATCGCGTTCCGATATGAGACCACCAAGTGCTACTGATTCCGACAGTCACGGGCCAAAATGCTGAGCTCTTTTGTGACGCATGGTGTGAGAACATGTATTCCTGCTGCTGTTTAACAGTGCATCTAAAGGTACGATACGTGGTGAACCAAGGAAATGCGCAACAAACGACGAGCAAACCCACGAAGACGGCGAAAAAAATGGATACTGCGTAAACTCTCGATAACATCAATACTACGGTACCTGTGTACCACCACGAGCTGTCGAATCAACTCTCCCCCCCCCCCCCCCTGCCACCGACACAATCACCCTGAAAGAAGTCCGCGAAACAACACGGACCAGAGACGGATCCTAGGGTCGGAGAGGGTGAAAGGTAACCCCGGAAACCATGGCTAGCACCGCCGCGAAATGGCAAAACGCACGCTCAAAAGGCTCAAAAGAAAGAAATCCTCCTCGAGTGTCAGAAGGACTCTCATGCTCGGGCCTTGCCATAGACGGTTGTGTGCAAGATATACATAGATAGGCAAAGAATGCAAGAAGGGACGGAAGAAGAACCAAGACTACCAAACACTATCATACTACCAATCGATAACAATAAGGATTCTGCGAATCGGAAACGAACGATGTGTGTGGCCGTGAAGGACAAACGTACAGACACCACATAGACCCGAATCATTCAAATTCTCGACGTCGATACCTTTGCTGTTGGTCTCGAACCCTGGTGCAGCAGGCTGCTGCCGGTTGCTCGTTGTTCCCAGCTGCTGCGCCAATCTAACTAACCCCAAAAGTCTTCGAAGTGTGTTGTACACGAAGCGAAGCTCAACAGAAAACCGGCGCGCCACAAGGAAACCCATATGTGCGGCGGTAATCTACACATACATCAGACCTCCCGACAGAATCATTCTGCAGAAGCACTCTTTCTAAAGGATTCCTGTGCCGTCTAGACTATGTATGTATGTCCTTGAGTACTGGAGGGCTTTACTGGGAATCACTCTCAAATAATATACGGAGCGTTGTGCTCTCAATCAGCTGGCATGCACAGGCGGGCACCAGTCCAAAAAAATTAAAATACAGCGCGACACCGTCGAGCGCTGGGTTGATGAGTCAGAGCGCTGAGTCTATCCATGGGTCATGGCGTCTGTAGCAGGAAAACGGTACCGGCAGCAAGGAGGGATTGGAAGGGCGACAATGTTTAGTCACCGTAAGAAAATATCAATCGGTTCTGAGTTGGAGAGTGGATCAATGGTACACATACGCCATTTTTCAACCCACCGCGAGTTCCTTCACGTGAAGGATCTACAGAATGTACACCACCACCCGTCAATGATTGCCAGCGGCGTACGGTCAACCGTACCACGAAGTACCAGACTCCCTCACATATTGTTTCGAGCATAGGAATTATTTGAGCTCAAATGTATGTATGTATATATTTTCTCATACCCTACAAATATCGGTGTAGACTGGCGCCCAAAATAGATGCAGCGAAAACACGCACTATGGAAGCCGAAATCAAACCATTAGACTAGTCAGCTTTAGCACACACACAAGAATGTTTTTCAAGCAGCTATGCAGCACAGCAAGGTAGTCACTCACACCACATGACGTCGTAGATGTGGGTCTGTTCCACAGTGCCGGCCATAAGGTGCGACCACGGGCCCTGGGCGTACACGGCCACGTCTGCATCCAGAACAACAGCAGCGTGTGGTGCGGTCAATCAATCAGTCAGTAGTCTTCTTGGTGTGCGGTGAAGAAGTTAGTGCGTTGCTGCAATGTGAAGCGTAGAGCGACCCGTATTGCATCATATTCTCAACACAAGCTTTGACGGCAATTTGGGGAACATCAACGGACTACGCACGACCACGGGCGAAAGAAAAACATGATTGCCATGCCTGCTGTCGAATTTTTTGCGCAAAAATACAGCGCTTGCCAGCCTTGCAACGTACATATGCATACATATGGAGTATTATTATCAAAACTTGCTGTTGATAATAATATTGGCCGCAAGACAGGACCGAAAAAACACCCCTTACCAGCGCCAGAGTGGGTCTCGGAACTCAAAGGCACGAGCGATTGCTGTACGTAGTCGGGGTCGGTGGCCTCATCATTGGTCACGTTTGGCCGCATGAACACACCGTCCTCGGACAACTCGCCAAGGTTTGGGCCCACCTCCTGGATTGAGCAAGGAAAGCAAACAGAATTACGTCAAGCACCAAAATATTTATGAATTGTGCAGATTGCTGAGAAATATCATCCGGGGCATTGCTATCGGCATGATCGAAGTTCACATGCATTCTGGATATTTTTCACCATGTCAAGATGCCGAAAGAAAAACCTCCCCAACAAAAGCTATCGGAATCATTACAAGATGTTTCCGTGTTTGTTCTGAAGCAGATCACGGGAACGCTGTGACGCCAGAAAGATAATGTGAAGACAACAAAGAACAACAACCACAACAGCAACAACAATTCACCTCTTCATCGCCCTCATAGAGGATGGAGCCGGGTCCGTTGCCGACGGATACGACCGTGTAGGTCGATCCGTCAGAGGCATAGTTAGGCACGTCCATGTGCATCGTGGCCGTCGGATCGATCTCCATGCACAGACCGGTCACGGAGGAGCCGCGTCCACAATAGCCGTTGTAGGCGATCGCGTGGCCGTGGTCGGCGGTAGAGATGATGAGGGTCTCGGCCGGATCGGTGTTATCCATGGCGTACTGAACCGCGTCCTGGTACGCAACTCCATCCTGGAACCTGTTTTCAGTGCGTACAATCGCAACTAGAGTATCCCTTGGTGCTTACCTGTCACACACACTTTTTCAACACTTGCATGGCCATGAATAATCCGGCGTACTCCGCCCTGCTCTACAGGAAGGATACATGATAGACAAGGGAGGGTGCGCCATACATAAACGGCAATTAGCGTGCCCCCCTCCCCCTTGGGTCCGCTTACCCCCCGCCCCTCCGGCACGGCGGCAGCTCAGACCACTCACGTGCGGTGCATGTTTCCGGCATGGGTGGCGTGATCGACTCGGCCAGCCTCAACCATCAGGTAGTATCCGTCGTGGTTCTTGGAAAGAAACTCGATGGCGGCCTTGGTCATCTCCATGATGGACGGCTCGTGTGAGTTTTCGCCCTCGGAGAGTCGGTCGTGGTCGTAGCTCAGGTGGCTCGCGGTGAACAAGCCCAGCACCTTTCCCTCCCTGCTTGATTGGTACACGTCGGAGCGGAGGACGTGACGAGGCCGGGCCGGGGTGGGGTGTCAGAGAGCGCCAAGAGTAGACACGAACGGGTTGTAAATCAAATCGACGGAGTGTTTCTCCTTCACATCTCTCTCTTGGTTATAAAGCGGTTCAAAGGCTTGCCACCCCGAACGTTTTCGGCAGAGCAGCCCCCGCGTTCAAACTATCCAGGAGAACAGTCCAAAAGGGATTGGTAGAGCTAATCTTTTCTCTCTTTCTGTCTCTTCCTTCCCCCCCACCGCCTCTGCTGATTACCCGTCTTCGAAGTCGAGGGCCATGAACTCGTCCTTGGTCTGCGCCGTCATGACGCCGGCGGTACTAGCCTCGGCGATGAGATCGCGACCATCCACGCGGTTGCCGGACTCTCCCATCGCGTCGAGCTCAGTGGCGTTGTAGAAGCTAGCCTTGCCACCGCCCGCGGCGAAATCAACCCAGCCGTCGTCTCCCACCATCGACAAGAGGAGCTGCTCAAGGGGATGGGTTCGTGCGTGTAAATCGGTGTAGAAACGATGGTTTTAGTTTTCTAGAAGAACAAGTGCAGAGAAGATAGATCCTACTCCTTCTCATTGGCGGGAACTACAGGAGGCCGTCGAAACCCTCCGTTCTTAATTTAACTGACGGTTAGACAGCGAACGAACCCCACCTTTACTTTCAATTCAATCGCAAACAAACCTGCTGTGCGATGTCGACCTGCTCCGTGCATCCCTCGGGCACATCTGCTTCGTAATTGCGGTCGACGCTTCTCGCGTATACGCCGGCTGGGGTGGCGTGGGTGATGCGGGCGGAAGACACGACGCCGACCTTCTTGTTCATTGCCTTCGCCTGTCGTCAAGTGTTCCCAGATCAAACATGAGACGCAAGCTAGAATGTACCCTAGGTTAGAAAGACATCGCTGCTCGGAGATCATCTGGTCAAGTACAGCCTGGGTGACAACGAAAACAGCGGGCATTCGTCGCAACAAATTCGCAGCAAACACGTTCGGAGTGCGCACCTGCTGAGCGATAAGTTCCAGCTCGTTGCCGGGCAGGGTGGAGCAGTCTCCACGGATCACGTCCTCGGAAACGCCGATCACCCCCTGCGTATTGATAGGCCAAATGGGGATGCACAAACAACAACCACGCACGTCGGGCAGAGTGGGTCATGCCGAACTGTTTGTCGCCCTTTTGCGCACAGAGTTGCAGCAGTTCCTTCCATCCTACATGAACGAACGGGAAGTCACGGGTCGGTAGCGCTCTCTGCTTGGATACTTTCTGTCAAAAACAAGTTTCACTGTGGCAGGAGGATCGTCGGGTGATGTGTAACGAAACGTGAAACATCTCTGGCTATGAACCATGTGCTCGAGACGTCGTTGCCTAAGAAGGATGATTTGCGTGTCTGAGTAAGCGTGGTGTTTTCTTGGCCCTTTTTTTTACACCTGACGACCGATCATGTCGTTGCCACAAAACTCGGCATGAAGTCCAAACGGAATCACTCACCGCCTTGGTCTTGTGGCCGGAGTTCATCGCAGTCGCTGTGCCAGCAGAGTCGGGGGTCTGTGCATTCACGTTGTACGTCTTCACCAGGCCGGCCCAGGGCATCCTACACGAATCAAACAAAGAACGATCGTTTCATCCCATCAGGGGGTGACCAAAATGTATGGATTAAAAGAAGGTCGGAATACAGTAACTTCGTGCAGTTCAACTACTACTATCGTTTTCGGCGGCACTATGTACCGCCCTTTTTTGTGCCCAAGCGCGCATGTACGCGCTGGCTACAAGAAGAGTGGCACACGGCACAAGCGAGGCCTCCTCTCTCCCTTATTTTGTGCTTGATCTGTAGGCAGGTCTTGCAAGAGAAGGTCCTACTCCTCTTCCTCTCTGCAGGCGGGAACTTCATTGTAAGGAACCCCACGCATGTTCCCGAGTCCGTCGCCGGCGGGTAGCCATTTGATCATTTTTTGGCTGGCTAACGGAGAACGACTTTTCTATGACAATATTCAGGAGGAAACGAAAAAACAAACACGGAAACAAAACACTACAAGGCATCCATCCATCCCGTCCGCAAGAAAACAACTTGCGAGTATGACTAAACACGCGCCAATGCCTCGACCTCTCACTTCTCATGGGAGAGCTCGAACTCGTCTCCGTAGCCGCCGTTCATCTGGCCCTGGAACAGACGGGTGCCGTAGTTGGTGTTGACGCCATTTCCATCGGCGATGAAGAGGATAACGTTGCGGGCCTCGTCGGTGGAGATGTACTCGTACTGCTTCTTGAGGTCGCTGATCTTCTGGTCGCCTTCGGCGCGCCAGTCGCGCTGCCAGTCAAACGTGGCCAACAGGCACGATGCTAGGAAAGTCGGTACGAGTCTCCAGCAGCAACAGAGAACCGGCCTCACCAATATAATACATAATACATCACCATCTCAGTATTGAACATCAACATCTAACAGGCGGGTTGGCCAAAAGTGGAAAAAAGCGACGAATGAAGGCGTAGTATTTATTAAACGTTATCGATCGATGTCAACAAATGAGTGACAAACGACTGTGGGGTAGTTGTAGGAGTTATAAGTTCGCATTGAAAAATGTTTTGACTGCTCTCGAGAACTTTTCCTTCCCTACCCGTGAAAGACCAATACACGAATGAATCCGGAAGTCCCAAAGTACAATAACACATAAACCCAGAAACCTCAGAAACTAAGATTCAACCCTCAGTGGAAAGTAGAACATGCCCGCCTATGCATAGAGTGAGTCCAACCACTCAAGGAAGAAAATAAATAATAATGGCAATGAGGCGGCGGGGGACAGGCGGACATCAAAACACAAGTAGTAAGCGAGTAGAGATCGTTGCCCCTTACGGAGCTGATACACACACAAAGCTTTGCACAGATGCACTCCAGGAGAGTCACCACACATCTATCTACTACATGTATCTCCTCGTACCCCTAGAAGCCGGCGGCTGTTGGTCATCGGGTTTAATTTTTGTCGACGAGGTGCCAGTTGATGTTTTTCTTCGGCATGAGAATATCTGAAAGCATTACTGTAGATGACCAAGTATATAGAGAGGCCCTGCATGGCATCAGCCCGCACCTACCATTCTTTTCAACGTCCGACTGACTGCGAACCTGCGAACCTGCACCACCTGCGGTTCCTCTGCTGCCGATGATGCGTATCTACGGCTGTTTTGCTGTAGTAGTCTACTTACCAAATCCGATCCTCGATCTACTTTCTTCACCACTTCCCGATTTTGTCAACAAACTTCAAACTTACTTCCTTCTTTTACAGTACTCCTACAACGGGTTCTACGCGAGACCGGCGAAGCACCCCTTGTATGTACCAGGTCGTGTTGCCATTATTGCGCGTGCGTGTGGATATACTGACACCTTCGAAACCACCCCTCATATGTACCAGGTAAGTACACTGCGCGTGCTGTGGATACTGACACGTTCGAAAGCACCCCGTGCAAGTACCAGGTAGTGCTGCGCATGCGCGTGCATACGGACACGCTCGAAAGCACTCGTGTAGATTTTACCTACTTACTGATGGGCAACTCAAAAGGGTGAGAGATGAGTTAAGATCGACGTTCGTATCTGAATCACGTGTGCATATGCCTATACGTGCTGCGGGGCAACGCACAAGCACAAGAGGGTGAGGAGAAGAGTTCTCAGGTCGACGTATCTGGATCACGTATGTTTGTAGACTACGTAGAACATATGCCTCTACGTGCGTATACGTGCAAGGATGTTTGCGAAGAAGTTGATGGAGATTTCCAGAACAGGAACGTTGTGGGAAGATCCTATCCATGTGGTACATGTCTAGACTAATACCGCAGGACAAGTTACCTTCTCGTCGGCCGCGCTCGCCAGCGTCAACGCGGCGATGGTGAGGCAGGACGTCTTCATCTTGACTGCAGTCTTGTTGGTGATTGTGTGGTGTTGTGTTGCCGGGGGCGAGAGGAGTGAAAAGGAGAGAGTAGGAGTTCAATAATCGACTGTGCATTGGTTCATGTCCCCCGATTCATCGTGGATCCAACATTCAGATTCACCAACGCTCTCGTCTGATGTTGTTGTTGTGTGTGTCTTCTGTGACGTCAGGATATGGAGATTCAGGAAGCACAGGTCTTACACGTAGGGCGTATGAGGGATAGGTCATAATAGATCATGCTTCTTCCCACGGTTCCCCAATAGCTCCGACATGGTTGATTAGTCTAAGTGATTAATCTTTGGGATGCTGGGAACATGAACCCCACCAAGGCTCGCCCACTCTTCCGCACCACCCTGACTTGGACTTGCGTTCGCTCGGTTACGCTTGCCATTCCTCGCCACATCCCAAAGGAAATAGCCAGGCTCCGGTGGCAGGTCATAGCCACCACACTCCGGACTCTCCGGTCACCCAGAGTTGAGGGCTCCATAAGAATACGGGAAAATATTCAAAACGCAAACATGGTTGTAGAGGGATGTAACGCCAGGCGCCAAGTCCATCGCAGACAACAACAAGAACCATAGCCAAGATGCGGGTTCAGTCATGAGTGCAGGGTGATGAGTGACCCTCTTCTTGTTTCTCCGGACAGTCGGTGTCCCTCTCTTCTCTCTTTCTGTCACTCCGCTAAGAGAGAGCCACGGCAGCAGCGGCAGCACATGCAAACATGATCAGGAAGGATCGAATCATTGATTCAAGAACATTCATCAACAAGAACGGGACTGTTGGCGGGACTGTGAGAATTTCCTTTCCTTGCCACGCCAATCCTCCCCTCGACACTCTGTACGAAACCCCGGATTTCTCCCCGACTTCTCCCACAACTACAACAGACAACCAACACGCCAACACGCCAACCTCAGCCCTCAGCCCTTACCTCGTGTGCCGCGATGCCGGTAAGTGTCGGTGTAGTGTCAACAACTGGATGCGTACCTACATCAGTAGCCCGCTGCATCTATCTATATGCAGCGCACTTCAAATGAGGCCCATCGTGTCACTTGCCTTGCATCCAGTCCACCAACAGCAACAGCAGTCTGCTTGCTGTAGCCTAACAGGCCTCACCTGCCAAGCAACTTCTCTGTGTTCCACCTCTGTAGACGTGATAGGCTGCTATTGAATTGTTCCAACCGTTCGTTAGGTAGCAAAACGGAGCGCGGTTGACAGCACCGCTTCACGTACAAGCAATATTCAAGCCGAACGTTGAGCGCAGTGCAGTGGTCGATGCTGAAGCGGGTCTTTATTTATTGCTCTGTCCAGATCAGGGAGCGACCGGTTGCCGGTGGCAGCCCCCTCACGTGAAAGCACCATGTTTGGCGGGTTTCTTAACACAACACAAGAGAGTAGATGATGTGCCGCACCCTGAAACGCCTCTCCTCTAGAATAATACGTGCGCTAGTTGCACGCTGGGTTTCATTCACACTTTCTTCAGGTTCACATCTGTGTACCTACACGGGCCTGCTCCTCTCTTGCCATGGAACTCATATTGTAAAAACGTTACATCTAGAGTACAGCAGTGCGCGCTTTGCGGGACTGGTGGGAATATGCCTCACCGCCATAGCTTGGGCGTTGATCAAGTATGCCTTTTCAAGTACGCGTAATCCTCACGGCTGCTGCCCTTCTGTTTAACCTTCTCTCTATTGTACCCGTTGTATACAACGGTTTTAACTGGGCTGGAAGACTGGATGAAGATTGAACATAGGAATAACGTTGACTTAACAGCTGTGTTGGGTTTGAACGGAGTTGTTACTTTACGCACAATGATCCTCGTTGAGCTCTATTCAAAACGCGCGACGTGGTGAAAATAGTTATTTTGCTCAATTCTTAGTGCGTGGCAATAAGCAACAAAGGTTGAATGTTATTTTGGCTTTAACGCCCTTTCCCAACAACGAAAGAGGACAGCAACCATCCATCAGGGCCACCACAGCACTGTCAACAACGACGGCCACCCATGATCACGACAGGTTTTCGTTCTCAAGGTCAAGTGCGAGCTCGACAATGTTGCCTCGATGCAAGCGGACGAGAACAACAAGTGGATCCTGACCATGCAGAGTCCGGACGCGGGGGAACGACGGGAGCACGTAGAGGTCACTAAAGCAAGAAACGAAGAGTTGGACGGAAGCAGGTGAGCTACAGTATCAGGATGGAAGCGGGGTGAGGGGGTGGCGGGGGGGGAAGCGAGGCACAAGTTGCGGCTGTCGCTTGTTGAGTGCTCTTCCCGATTGTGGGAGGGCTGGAACGAAGGAAGCCCGCCGTAGTGTTTGCTACTTTATCTCATGTTCTGCACGGTTGTATCGATGAGGTCATGCCTTCAGGCGTGTTCGTGGATATTTTCAGCCTCACAAAACCGTGTCGTAATGCTTCGATGCTTTGTTGATGTGACTCTCGTTGTACCCGCTCCCTCTCCCTCTCCCTCGGTCCCCCCCTTGGTCCCTCCCTCCCTCCCTCCCTCCCCCCCTCCGACCTTTCCCTTTCGATCATGAGCGATGCGGTTGGGAACAAGAGCGGTGCTCCGCCTCCCCCGAGAAGCCTCCCTCTAACTCTGATCACACGCCAAAACAGCAGACAAAACCTGAGTGCCCGCCCCACCCCCACCCCGCGCCCTCGTCGATCCATCTCGCGCTCCTCAGGGGGACCGCCAATTTTGTTGTGAAGTGGCAGGGGGCCAAGAAGCAGGCCACAGCGAATATCGTGGAAATCAAGAAGGTGGGTTCGGGGAATGTGGCGAAAGACAACAGATCACGGAGCAGTAAGGGCCACCGCGTACTTGCGAAAACCAGCGCTGTAGGTGAGGGGGATTTTTTCCCGCGATGCGCGCTGGTTGTCTTGAAAAGTGGCGCGTTCGCCTTGCCTCTTCCCACAGGCAAAGGTTGTGATCGATGTTGTCGCCACGTGTAGGTGGTTTTGCCACGTCTCGTGTCCTGTCTACTAGTGTGGTGGCATTGCTGTTTGGCCCCACACACAGAAACCGCACTCAGTGTCTTAGACCAGGAGTAGGCCAGGGGCGGCGCGGGGCGAGAGGGACAGGGAGGAAAGGTTTGCGCTACATACTCTGCGACCAAACTTTTTAACCCAACGGATTTACCTGTACGAGTCCAATATAAACGCCGCGCGTTTCCGTTGATGGCATCTTCGCATCGACCCTGCTTGCCGAACCCTTGCTTGCATCAATTTTTCGGACAAGGTGACCACCCAGGGACTGATCAAGGGGGACCAGTCGGGAGAATTTGTGCCGATTTTCGCGTTGGATTGCAGGTATGAGGTCACATCCCCGCGCGACACGAGTAGAATAAACACTTTGCGACCACTCCTGGGATGTGTTCAAGGTCAGGCGTAGCTTGCACGCGTTTTGTTCGCGGGATCTGCGTGGTTAATGATTTGCATCGCGTTATTTCCGATTCACGAGAGGTAGTTGGGGCTCACCCCCAAGTTGACGTTGTTGTTCCTGACAACTGAAACCCGCAAACACACACACTCATGTGGGCACACCGACGACAGTTGGCGAAGGTGCCGCCAACACCACAAGGATAGTCTAGACCCAGGCTCACTCATTCATACTCTTATGAGGGACCGGCAGAGAGAAAACTATGGTATCACATGATGTGTTTCTCTATGCGCACCGGTGTCATGATCTGACGCTTTGCGGTTTGCCGTACCCCTATCTCCGCTGACACCGCCGACAACAACGACGACCACTACGTCGTGCTGGATGGATTGACACGACGACAACAACAACAAACCGCGCCGCATACCCCCCCTCAGGGGACTGGAACCCATAGAGTGGCACCCGTCGACAGACTTCGCGGTGACCAGCGAGGGCGGCACGGTCTACGCCAGCGACGGGGTGGATCTGAGCGAGGAAGATTGGTCGGACTACTGCGAGAAGAGCGCGGCGCCGATTAGCATCATGGAGATCGAGCACAAGTTCGAGGTTGCTTGAAAGGGGTGTTTCTTTGTCTTCTTGTGTTTTAACACGTCGCAGTCGTTCGTGGGTTCGAATCCGGATATGAACACTTTTGGAGTGGGTGTTCTTCCTGACACCCCTGAGCACTCTTGTACACAGCATGGTTGATGGAAAAACTTCATCGTCTCTGTTACTTATTACGCTTGGTTTGAAGTTCGAGACACAGCGTCGCTATGATGTGTCCAGCGGGAAGGCGGGGTCGTGACCTGACTGATTGCACACGGGAGAGGCCTGCCTGTTCGGCATCAAGGAAAGCAAACATGTAAATGTATAAAGAACACCACCGAGACCTTGATTGATAATATTTCAAGGAGATCTCCTTTCGGCCTCTCGTCGAAACGTGTGGAGATGGGGTGGGTGGAGTGGGTGCCTTCCAAGAGAAGAACGCTGCCCGCACGCCGGATGGGGTATGGGCAGGAGCGTCGCACTTTTTGCTGTTGACAGGATAAGCAGGGAGCATCATGTGGCAGGCGTGTTCGTGTAATTTTTCTTTGCCTCGTACATGTGTACGTGTTGGATGCCGTAAAAATTTCGGTCGAAGATGGCACCCCCGCCGGCGAGGTCGCCACCCTTCATCTGGGTTGGTAGGTGTTTTGGCGTTGCCCTGGGCAACCGTGCAGGCGGACCG